ATCAATTTTGTCAAATTTGGAATGAATATTTCCAAGAACCTGGAAACTAGCACTGGGGGACTTTTTCGTGATTTACCATATATACCTATATATCATATAACAGTTTGCTTCAGTTTGTTCGTCTCTTCGTTTAATGAATACAAGTACCGGTATTTAACTACTAATATTATGCTCAAATGCTTGTTTCATAAATATTGTTAGGGACGTATTCAGGGGGGGGGGAGCCGTGGGAGCTGAGGTCCCTCCCCCCTCTTTGTAAACAGTGTTAGAATTTCAAAGTTTGTTCTTGCTACCAAATAGGCCTACACATTCTTTCCTGGGATCACTCAAAATGAAGTTTGGTGTTTAAATACTGTACAATTTCTAATTGACTCCTTCTACAGTAGATTTGTGACCCGTGCTCCAATAGAAACCCACCATACCGTAAACTTCTATCAATAAAAGTCACCCGCTATCCTGATAGTAACCCAGTGGAATATTCGTTAGATTAATCAATTTTTCGGATTTATAACGGCTACTTCTCAAGGGGTGGATTTAGCAAACTTACTTAAGAAAACAATTAAACTTAAATTCCCCATAAATCCCAGGCCATGTCTTTTAAAATACAAAAATGGGATACTGTATGGTTCAGTTTGGTTTCTATCCTTTAGCAAGCATTTAAAAAGTTTTGTTTAATAATACTAGTAGTAGTAGTAGAAGTGACAATAATAATGATGATGACGACGATGGTAATTATGATAACAGATAATAATATTAATAATATTAAAAATTGTGCTAAAGGCGAAAGGGATTTGGCGATCATAATTATTATAGTAGGCCTAGTTACAGCATATTATAGTTGGGCCTATGTTGTCTTAAATATAAAGTAGATCTCTATGGTTGCCGAAAATCCCTGATAAAAGATCATGAGACATTTGCTGACTCTTCGTTTGATAATATGGTGATGTGATGATCATAAATTTTACTATATAAAAGTGTCATTTCCGGCCATCTGAGGTATTATTTCCACAAATTGTCTTACCTCAGCCCCAATCATGGTGGGGCTGAGGTGGTGTAAAATCATGGCTTTGAAGTATCTAAAGTACATACATTAAAGACAATGTTTTTTAGGCTTTATTTTCTATGGTACATCACACATTTTTAAGATATGGTTGCCGAAAATCCGTTATAAAAGATCATAAGAAATTTGTTGAAGCTTTATACTGTATAATGGTGAAGTGTGATTAATTTTTACTAAAAGTGTCATTTCTTGCCATTTAGAGGTACTATTTCATCACATTTTTGCACCTTAGCCCAAACCATGATGGGTCTGAGATGTGTGTGGACTCACGAAATGTCCACCCCACACCTTTCAAAGCAGATCTGCGCCTTTCCCTGGGTAGCCTATGACATTAAACTCCATCGAGTCAACACCTGACTCAGAATATATGTCTTAGTGACTGAGATTGGGGTGAATAAATTTTATTTTCATGATGTGATCCTGTTTTTTATGCTCATTTTTAATGATTATGAGCAGGGAGCAGTGAATTCAAGGTTCCCCTTCCCTCCCCCCACCCACCAACCTACCTAAATTTTTTAATGGACAAAAAGAAAATTATGTTCAGATTTAAGTCTGAGAGTGTAATTTCCGGCCATCTAGAGGTGCCCTAATCAGCTGAGGTAGGTCTGCAAAAGTCCCTTCCTGGGTCAACTCTCTTTCGAATTCCTGGATCCGCCACTGTTGAGTTATTAGAATTATTGTTAGGCTTACTAATACAGTATTATTAAATAATAAATTTTATAATGCCTCTATTGCAATCTTCATTTTGTCCTCTCAAAGCAGTCCTTAAACGTTCAGAGTGTGCTACCTCCCAGGAGTTTCGCCCCCTGCCCCCGGGGCCCTTGGCTTTCCCCAGCCGTAGGAAGGGGAACACCCCACCCTTCGCTTGTACTACGTACCTCACGTAACGCCCCCGCTCCCCAAATTTCAAAATCCTGGCTACGTCCCTGGATAAATTAACGTGGCTTCCACTGTAGAGGTATATCTCATGTATGTAGTTTTTGTAGTTATATTCTTAGTTTTATAATACTGTTTCAGCTTCAATTTAGTTATAGGTAAAACAAAAATCGAAGCAGTAGTTCCCGATACCGTACTCGCGCGAATAAGCGCCCCGTTTGAATAAGCGCCCCGTTTGAATAAGCGCCCCGTTTGAAACGTGAAACTTTACTTAAGCGCCCCGTTTGAATACAATAATTTGAATAAACGCCCCCTCAATAATTCATTTCATTTCATTTTATTTATTTTGTCTCAATAAAATACATTAAAAAAAACAACAACCGGTTACAATACAACAAAATAAAAGCATAAAAAATCTGAAACAGGCCGAGACAGGATTCCTAAAAGTGAACCAAATCACTATCATGTAGGTCTCCTAATGCACTATTCCGATTA